GATAAAATTAAAATTACAATGGAAGTTTAAAACTTTACAGTATAAATTGTATATAGTACTAGAAGACTTCTTTGCAATGTTCATAATAGTAGCAACAGATGCACAAAATATGTTTAAGCAAGTTTTCACAACAGTTTTTAACTTGGATGTCAACAAAAAAATACAAATACAGCATTCAGCTAGCTTATTTTATAACACCTCTTATGATCAAAGTTTATTTTTAAAAGATTTTAACACCCACATTTTTTCTATAAATTATGCTAAAAAATTGAATTCTGTGAGTGATTTATATGTTTTTTTAGAAAGTTTACTATCTGTTATATAAGTTTTTAAATCTTTGTGTGAATTTTTAAGTTTTTTTTTCTAATAGTTTTTCTTATCTTTTTATTTTCTTTCTTTTCTTAATTATGATATTTATATTTAGCTTATTGCAGTATATGATGAAGTCATTGATAGCTCCTTGCAATCTTGTAATATTTATGCTATGAAACCAGAACAAGACAGTTGTATATTAGCAGCATTATCTGATAACGATTCAGGTGTAGCTGCTGATGCTTCAAATCCTACTAGCACACATAATTCCTTGAACTCTTCTTCTAAGCCTCCCCGGGGAATTAATAAAAATTTCAATAAAAATAAGAATGCTTCATCCAGGTCCTCCATTTCTTCAGGTTCATCAGTTTCTAGTCCAGAACTATCAAAGCGACATTTACAACCCTCGTTTAGTCGAGACATAAATCGCAAGTCTTTGTCTACAAATCATCCTATGTTGTATACATGGATAGATCAACAAGACAAGTTTGGCGGTGGAGACATGTATGCTGTGAGTAAAGTTTAACTTTAGATAATTATATGTCAGATAAACCTATACCAGTTCACTGAACTATAGCAATTATAATGACAATAAAATAATTATAATTTTCTTTTTAAAATATAAAAAGAACGTTTTAAAGTATAAAAGAAGTTTGTTTTAAATAGATAAATAGCATTTTAATAATAACTTTTTTATTAATGTAAAAGTTGTGATATAAAAAGTTAAAAAATAATAAGCAAAAGAGTCAAGTTAGAATAAAAGTATATTTTGTTTAATGTTCTCAGTTACAAAATAAAAGATTTTTCTTTATTATTATTGGTTACGCGGCAGGATAAAGTTGACCAAAATATCAAAGATAATGACTCAGAATCATCGTTTGACCAAGAAATTTTACTTGATCACTATGCCTTAAAATGCGTTGACATACAACCATATACAACTTCAGATGGGCGTGAAATTGGTTTGGTTGTACAAAATGTTGTTGAAGGAAGTTATGTCGATAGAATAGGGGAATTGCAAACTGCTGACAGAATAACTGAAGTAAATGGCATGGTTTTAACAGGTTTTTCCAATGCAAAAGCAAAAGAAATGTTTAACGAAGCTTTGAAATCAGAAGTTATTCGTCTTAAACGGACTCGTTCACATCATTTTCTCAAAGATCAAATTGAAGTACCTCATTTAGATTTAATAAGCTCTGAAAATTCTAAAGAACTTTTAAAACAGAGCAAAGAAGCTCCAAAGGTTTCAGTATCATCTGTAGATAGTCAACCAAAAGAAGCTGCCATTGAAGGTAAGTCAATAGTTTAATTTAATTTTTATTTAAATATAATCTCAACATTTTATTCAACATTTCATTCAATACTTTTTTATTTTGTGCAAACTCAACACTTTACAATGTTAAGTTGTAAAAAAAAAAAAAAAATTAAGTATAAAGATTGTTTGAGAAAAAAATATGATTCTTAAAAAACCTAACTTTCCATTTGCACTTTAAAATGGTTTGTATCATTGTATCATATTTGTATCATTTTTAAAATAAAAAACTTTAATTTTTACCAGTTGATTTTTGAACTAACATATTTTCTGGAACAGTAGTAATAGTTTCAAAATATATACTTGTTTTTAAAAGTTTATGTTTGTAAACACTCTTGAAGTTTTCAAAAGCACAGATTTGTATGTTTATATTAGGGGTTAAATTTATGTTTAAATATTGTATCTTTAAAAGATTCATTTTAGTTTCAATTATAATTTGGTATCCAATAGTTATTTTAATCATGTATTTAATTTGCTTTTTGTGGTTGACAAAGAACTTTTTAATAATGTAGCATTTGTTACTCATCAAATTGTCAAGAGTCTTAAAATGTTACTTTTTTAAATTAACAACGTTTTCAAAGCCTTTAAACTCTTCTTCTTCTTTTTTCTTTTTCAATCTGAGAAAGAGATTCTGAGAAGACAAAAATGGTAAAAATAGTTTTTTTAATAAGATATTCATATACTTAATATTCATTTAATTCAACACACACTTTTTTATTTCTAACATTTTCTCTGTAATAGTTATAAAAAAAATTTAATTCCTTTTTTTTTTTTTTTGTAGCTGATTCAAAAGAAGAAGAAAAAAAATCTAATAAACATAACTTTGTTGTTAGTCTTACAAAGGGTATGATTTGATATATATATTTATGATGTATATTATGATATATGTATATCCTATTTTGTTAATAAATGTATATCATAGTTTGTATATCTAAAAAATGTGATGTATATATTGTCAGGGTTTTGGCCAGCCCAATAGCATCATGTAATTCATAATGGTTTAAAAATTTTCAAATTTCAATGACTTTTTTTTAAGCAGTTGGACAATTTTAATAAAAGTTCCCAATATTTTGAACAATAAATATTCAATATAACAATAACATCAAATATTGGCAAAGACGTGGGAAAAATATATCTGGCTAACACCCTGATTGTCTACTGTTATTGTTAGTTACTATTGTTGCATTTGTGTAAATTCTTAATTTAATTTGTAAAAATTCATAGCTGCAACTGGATAAAGTATTTTTAAAAAATTCTGATTCTGGCAAATCTAGTATATTTAAAAAATTCTGTGATTCTAGAGTCAAAATTCTGATCCTTTCTATGAAACAAAAACAATCAAAAAATGACTAAAAAAAGACCTTATTACATATTTTGGACGTGTGAGAGACTACATAACAAGTTTTAGTAATCACTGCTCACTTAATACAATTTTGTATTGTCTGTGACTAGAATGTCACTTTTTTGAAATCTAAATATGTGTGCAAGAGTTTTGTTAATAAACAGTTAGTTCTGATATTTATAAAAGTTTGTTGTAAAAAGTATTTTAATTGTATTTTAAATACTTTGCTAGTAAAAATATTTGAAAATTACAATTCACTTACTTTAGCACACTTATATGCATTGCCATTTATTTTGCAAACATAGGTATTATTCAATTCAAAAGTTATTAAGAAGTTCATTGCAAACCAAATGTTTGAGCCAAATTAGAAACGCATAATATTTAAAAGTATAAACAAATAACTTTGATTTGCATATATTGATACACTTGGTACATATTACACTTTAATAAATGTTCTTTGATGTAGAAATTCTTTAAAAAATTTTGTGATACAAAATGTAAGTGACTTTTTAGATTTTATTTAAGTTAATATTTTAATTTAGGAAAAGATGGTCTGGGGTTTACTATCACCAGTAAAGATGTTTTAACAAGTAATACTAGAGAGTTTTTTATAAAAAATATATTGAATAAAGGAGCTGCAATAAATGATGGCAGATTGAGAGCTGGAGATGAGCTAATAAAGGTAATTTTGTGTGGTTATGTATTTGCTTTTAATGTGAAATGTTTATCAATTGATATGTATAAATACTGAATTAATGTTTATAATTGACTGAATATATTATGTTATGTCTTGGTCATGACATTTAATTGATCTTTTATTGGGCATGTGAGGCTCCTTAGCTGGGGGCAAATGGAACTTATCTATATCATATTTTAATTTAAAAATGCCATTATGGAAAACCGTATGGACCACGCGAGTTTGGAAACATCGACATTAAACTTTAAAATATGTGTATAATGAATTTTATATTTCATCCTTTTTCCTCTTGATCTTAGGTTAATGATGTTTCATTGTACGATAAAAGTCAATCGGATGTTGTTAAGATACTTCGAGAATCAGAGGGAGTGTTAACTCTTCAACTTGCAAGGAAAAAATCGTTTCAAGAAGATATACATTTTGAAGACTCCAAGGTTAGTTTGTTTCTGTTAGTAAACTTTGTAGTCAAAATTTTTACCTGGACTCTGATGTATTCTACACTCATTATTTTTACCTGGACTCTAGATGAACTTTGTTGTAAAATGTTTAGAAATGTTTAAAAAGTTGTGAACTTTAAAGAGAAAAAATAAGTAAAACATAAGAGTAATGTAAATAAATTGGTTATAATATAGTTAAATAGATTAATGTTATATAATAGATTAAAATAATAGATCTTACATAATGTTTTTCTTGAGTCAAACATTCATCAAAAACAATTAAGACAAACGTCAATATTTGTCTCAATAGTTTTTCAATGTCTGTAAAAGTAAACCAAATTTTTTAAGCCCTTTAATTACTAAACTACTTTTACTTCATGATAATTATTTTGTTTAATTTAGTTTTATTATTCTATAGTGTCTCCCAGAAGAAAGCATTAAAACAAATAATTCATCAGATATAGTGAAAAATTCTTTTTCTGAAGAGATTCTTAAGCTCACCATACCTCTTAATAATCAAGGCTCGGCCGGATTAGGGATAAGCCTAAAAGCAAAAGTAAATGAAGTTACTAAAGAAGATCTTGGCATATACATCCAATCAGTTTTGAAAGGTGGTGCAGCCGCAAAGGTTAACTAATAGTTCAATTTTTTTTATTTGAGTTTTTTTAACTAGTTAAAATAAAAATTGAAATTAAACATTTTAATAAATAGTAAATATAGGTAATTAGTTATTAAATTTTTTTTGTAGGATGGAAGATTGATGGCCAAGGATAAACTTATTAGTATTAATGACACTATATTAATTGGAATGTTAAATGATGAAGCTATGGCTTTGATTCGTATAGCTATGGAAGAGTCAGTACAAAAAGATTTTATTCAAATTGTTATTAGTCGTCAATCAAGAACTAATTATATGCCCAATAAGGATGATCATATTCTATCCAGCAGCCCAATTAATGATAGTATGAAAGTTACAACAGATCTTGTTGACCATGGTGACCATGGTAATTCATTAAATTTTTTAGAGATTTATTCAGTATAATTATAAGCATTGTATAAAATGATGCTTGTATATTTGCAACTAACTTATTGCTTCATCCTCTGCACTATTTTTTATTAAAGTATTTTGAAAAATAATTTTTTAGATTCTTTAATTGAGGAAAAAAGTCAGAAATTATCCGGGCACAATCCTGTTAGAAATAAATCATACTTTAAAGCCTGTCCATTAATTTTATCTGATGAAAACAAACAGTTTGATGGTGGTTCTACTGCAGAAGTACAATCTAAAGCTTGTGTTGAAAAAACCCCTGTTGAAGAAGTTCCTAAAAAACAATTAGCAAATTATGAAATGCCCCCATCTTACGAAGAAGCTGTGAGTCGTAAGCTTTCAAATAACAATATAATTAAGGAAAGAGTGAAATTAAGAATGGTACCTGGTTCAATTTTTGCTGTACCATTTGATGAAATCCAAAAGCAAGAAGCAAAAATAAATGCATTTAAACCTCTTGCAAGAACTAAACTTATGAGTAGTAGTCAATCAAATATCGACAAGTTGGATTCTGCTAGAATGTCCATTGTTTCACAGTCTTCATTAGAATCCTTTATGGTAGGACCTGATAAAATTCCATTTTCACGCCATGCGTTTGGAAGATCTTCTATGTCAGAAAGAAAAGGGCGCGCACATATTGATGCAACCAAGAGTGAGCTATATAACAAATTAAAGAAATTTAAAAGTATGGAAGAACTTAGAGGTATAAATTTTTTTATTATATTCAATCTCATAAAAATAAATTGACAAATTGTCTTTACATCACTATGTTTGAAATAAGCTTTGTTCCAATGAATTAAAAGAACATTTGAAATACATTATTCTTTCTTAATTTAAATAATAAATAAACTTTTCTTTATTAGGTTGAGGGGACTACTACAGCCAAGGAGGGGCAACTCTTTAGCTTGAGGGGGCTAATTTAGCCACGGCGGGGCAACTCCTTATTTTTTCTTAAATTGCTGCTACAACCTTTTCTCAACCCTTTAGCTAATATCATGCGGTAGTGGTGTAGTGTGGCAGTGATGTAGTGATAATGTGCTTGCTTCATAAGTGAGAAGTTCCAAGTTTGAGCCCCCCACCACATCCTTGGTACCACATTCAACTTGTTTTTCTGTGCAGCAGCCTTGTTTGTCATGGTTTGTGTTTCAGAATTAAAAGTTGAGAGAGAGTTATCACAACAAAGCAGCTTCCTCAGCTTTAGTGGCTCTCTCCGCCTTAAGGAGGTGAATTATATTAAAAATATATATGTAGTGCATTTCTATTTCATCGACTTTTACATATATTTCCTCATGTTTATCATCATATATTCAATCTTTTTTAACATAATATAATAAGATAAAAACAGTTGCATCTGCTGTTTACATCTTGGTTTGTTAAGTTATTGTTTCTTGACTAATTGCAGACTTAATCATGTGCATATAATTAAGATGATAGTAATTAGCTATTAGGTCAATAGCTATGGATTGCTCCTCTATATGTTCTTGGCTTTATTCTTGCTATTTATTTCTTGTTCTTGTTATTGATTTTTAAAATTTTAACTTTAGTTTTAGTTTGAGTTTAACTTTTTTTTTAGTTATCTTCTCCATAAATTTTATTTAACCTACTCCATATATTTACTCCATAGAGTTTGTTTCATCTTGTCCATATGTTTCACTTCACCTTCTCTATAGAGTTTATTTCATCTTCTCCATAGGTTTTATTTCATCTTTATGATTGATTTTATTATCTTTTCCATAGAATTGGTTACATTTTCTCCATAGTGTTAATTACATATTTTCTATGTAATTTATTACATAGATTATTTATTCCATTGAATTATTTACATCTTCTTAATAGAGTTTAATACATCTTTTTTGTAAACTAGTTACCTCTTCTCTATAAAGTTTATTGCATCTTCTCTTTTTTAAATCTTCTCCATTTAATTTAATACATCTTTTTCATAGAAGTTGTTAAATCTTTTTTATGGAGTTTATTTATTATGGCTACTTCATTAATCCAGCACTAAACAATTAATTTGTGTTTCAGCAACTTTTTTGTCGCTATGATAAGTAAAAATACAATAGAGTACATGATAAAAATAACTTTTAAATTCAATTTTTATTTGTGAATTAAATGGTGTTTAACAGTGCATAATATTTTTGTTTTTAATTTATGAATGAAATTTTTAATGGCTGAATCGAATTGTAAGAGTTATATATACTTAAATAACTAAAACTTTATTAAAATAATATTAAAAAAATTAAATTGTTTATCATTAAAAATAGATTGTTGCATGATAATTTTTTTGTTTATATAGCATCACGCATGTTAGAAATGGACTTCAATGCTAATTTTATAGGTAATTTGCGTTTTTTTTTTTAATTGATGTTGTTTATATATATATATATATATATATATATATATATATATATATATATATATATATATATATATATATATATATTTAAAGGTAACTTATGTCTATATTACATTGAACAACAGTCAAAATGCATTTATAAATTTATTTATAATGTATTTATTTAAAATGTACGCATTTATGCACTTTTTCATAGAAAAAGTGCATAAATGCGTACATAAATCGAATCGAAATTTTCTTTGTTAAAAGAAAAAAAAGATAAACAACAATAATAGTTAATGAAAAAAACTACTTCGAAATAAAAAAAAATTGAAGTTAAAAAAAAGAGTTTCTCTATGAGGTTTTGAATGCACAATTTTGTCAGTTGCATCTCAAGATTTTAATACTGCAACCAGTGTTGTAGCTAGTGGGTCTGAAGCCCTCACCTAAAAAAAACCCTGCCATTAGAGCCCCAAAATCCTAAAATTTTTCCACTAGGTATTACAAAAAAAAAGCTCCTTAAATTTGCAAAAAGACCTTTTAATTTCCAAAAGGGCTCCCTAAAATTTCTTTACCCTTTCCCCTTCCCCCAATTGGGGGATGTTAGGGAGCCTAGCCATAGCTCTGATTGTAACATTCATTGCACTACGCCACTAATTTCCTTAATTGAAATATTAAAGTATTTAAATATTTGTCTTTACCAAATAATGCTTATATTATGTGTACACACATACAAATAATAAATTTTTTTTTAAACCTATGAGATATTCTTAATTACACAAAATGCATGTATAGTTCCAGATTTTTTCCAGATTTTTCTTATAAATATTATCCGATTTTTTCCTGATGTTTTAAATAAAAATATTTTCCAATTTTCAAAATATGGCCTAGATAATTTCTGTTTAGCATTCATTATATTGAAATCCTTCAAAAGTGTGTAAAGAATTTCTCTATGCATCTCAAAGTGAAATTCCCAAGTTTGAGTGAGACTGAAATAAAGAAAGGTGTGTTTTTACTTGTCTACAAATGCATGAACTTTTGAAAGATGAGCATTTGTATCAGATTTTCTGCGAAGCTTTGAAAAGAATGCTCTAGATGTAGAGTACAAGAAAATGACAAAGAAAATGATAGTTGAGTATGCTGTAGCTTATGTTTCAGTCAAATAAATACACTTTATCATTACAGAAAACTATTATATAGGAATTTAAAAGTGTCTTTATAACATTTGTAGTAATGCTCTGTTTAAATATTGTCGCTTCATGTGTTAAACTTTGAAAAATATTAGAAAAAATCTTTGTCAACACTAGAGCTATTTAGTTGTTTTTTAATTTTTTTAGTTATTTTTTTAAAACATGTATGTAATCTCAGCATTGATATCAAAAAGAATTATTTAGTTGTTAGTCTGATCAATTTTAATTTTATTTATATTTACTTTTTATACTCAGATTCTGTAATGATTTGATTTTTTTATTTGATTTTATATTTAGACAGACAGACACACAAAAATGATCAGTTAATCGATTACGAATGTAAGTCAGTTATACATTTATAGAAATAAATAAATTTATAAATGTTCTATAAAATATATTTTTTAATAAAATTTTAGTTATAATTTTTCTGTTAAAAAAAAAAGTTATAAATATAAAACATATAAAAATCCTTCTTGTCACTTATTATTATGAGTTCACAAAAAAAAAAATAATAAATGAAAAGGAATATAGAAATGGAATTCAATTTTAACAAACACTTATAACAGATTTTTCTTTGATCATTTTTCTTTTTTCTTTTTTAAATCTTGTTTAATTCAGCTGTCATTTAGTTTATAACTCAATGTACTGTCATTTTTAAAATTTCAACTTGCTATGTTATACTTCAGTTAAAATTACAAAAAATACATTTGATATTTCCTGCATTCTTGAATTACCAATTATATTTATTGCTCAGTTTATATCACTAAATAAATTTTTGTTTTTGTTTTTAGTGAACATGTTTGAAAAAAACAACAATCAAAGCTCACCAAACGATATATCTTTCGCTGCTAATCACCTTTCAGTCAATGGTAACAAAATGAAGTAGGTTTACTTAATTTTGTATTGTTTGAATTATTATAAAGAACATATTATGAAAAACCCCCTAAACAAAAATGCTCTACTTAGCAATAATTATTTTAGACTTAAAACTATTATTTTCTCAGTTTTTTTGAATTATTATTTTCTTCATTTGCAAATATCTATTTAACTTTTTTTATTTGTCACATTGTAAATTTTGCTTTTGCAATAAATTTATAATATAGTTTGGAGCAGGTAAGGTTTCATAGCTGTGATGAAGAGCTCTTACCTAGGAGAAGGAAAACTCATTAAAAATATTATTTCATTTTTTTTTTTTTAATATTAGCATTTCATTTGAGAAAATTTTTAGCAGTTTCTAGTTTTCATGTTCTTTTTTTTACTTGATGTTACCAGGGAAACTCAATCCTTGTTTTACCTGTTTATTTAAAAAAAATTTTTTAAGACAAAAAAAAATTAAAAATAAACAGGTAAAATAAGACTCCTGATAAAAAAGTGCTTTTCAACTTTCTGGTGACAAGTATTTAAAAGAGTTGGTTAGTATCCTGAATATTTTGTGGTCTTCACTTTTTTACTATGTTTGCATCTAGCAGAAAGTTAACTGGAATTATGAAAGTTGTTTCACTTAAAAAATACATTTTTTGCAGTTGTTTAGACAGTTTATTTACAATTAGGATATTATTAATTAAGAATTATTGTTATATGTTAATTAAACTAGTAGTTTTTTACTTTAAGTTATTAATTTCAAAGTAACAATAGAGGCTATGCACTAAAAGACTTATTGACCACAATTTTTACAACTTGTAAAAAATTGTTAACAGTTAACATTTTGCCTTAAATTGCACAACAGCCTGGAGTTCTTTGCAATGAAATTATTAAAGAACAAACGTTAAATTCAAGTTAAAAATTTACAAATGATTATTGAACAATTGGAATTCAGTTGAAAGAATATTAATGAATTGTGATGATTTCCATAATCAGATCAGTTGTCATGGTGATGTAAAATAAGGTTAAGTATTATTATTAGGTCGGGAGAATAAAAAAAAGCAATTGCTTTTACTCAGCATTTTTAGAGTCATAGTTCAGCTTTACGTGAATAAAATATTAGCAAACTTCTTCAAATTTTTATTCGTGTAAAGCTAAACAATTTACTCCAAAAACACTGAGTAATTGTTCAGCTTTATGTGAATAAAAATTTTGAGTAAAATTACTAAAGTATTTACTTATGTATAACTGACCAATTACTGAGTAAAAGCAATTGCTCTTTTTTATTCATCCGGCCTATTAAATTGACTCTTTTATAGGGTAAACAGTACAGTTATTGGGCAGGCACAGTTATTGGACACTACAGAACTTATGTTTAAAAAAAAAGAATAGATTTATGTTTAAAAAATAAGAATAGATTTATGTTTAAAAAAAAAAAGAATAGATTTATGTATAAAAAAATAAGAATAGATTTGAATAAACTTGTACAATATTGTTATAGATGTCTCCGTAAACAATTTAATCTCTTCTTTACTCTGCCATAATTATGTCAAAAACGTGTTTTGTTGTACTAAACTTGTGTGTGCATTATAATAGCGAATTTTTTTACAAAATTAGTTAAGAGTTATAAAATAATAAAAAAATTATTAAATATGTAATTGAATTTCAAAGCGTGTTTTATTATGTATGAAAGACATAAAGTTAAGTGTTACCTTAAGTGTCCAATAACTGTACTGTTTATACTACTTTACACCACTACTCAGCATAAAACTAAGAATAATGATAATAACAGTAACAACAGCATTAATAACAATAATAATAATGTTATTAATAATAATAGTAATATAAATAATAACAATAATGACAATAATAGTATTAACATTAATAATAAAAATAATAATATTAATAATAATAACTACAATAATAATATATTAAATCAGGCCTCGGCGGGAAGCGAGAGCTTTAGCTCTCGCTCTCGCCCACACTCCCCTAATACAGTTTACAGGAGCAATTTACGGCTCTCGTATAATTTTTCTCATAAAGTATAATTTTTCTCATAAAGATATAATTAAAATTACAAAAGAGTGCTAATTTAAATGAGGAGCAGCTTGCACAGCTCCCCAAATTCGTTTTAGGAGAGCTTTTCTCAGCTCTTGTGCTCATTTGTTCCCGCCGAGGCCTGTTAAATACTCATATTTAACATTGAATAATGTTGATCTTTAATAAATTAAAACAAAAATAAACTAAAAAATGCATTTAAATATTTGATGACATTCAAAATGATTATTTTAGGGATCATAAAATCGATAATTCCAATAACAGATACTTAAAATATTCTAAAATGCACCCACCGAAATCAAATCGAAAAATAAAAACACGTCCTTACTCATGCCTTATTGATGGTAACGATGTCAGGTATTTATTGTTAAATTAAATCGTTTAGCTAAAGATTAAAATTAACTTTTTTTAACCATGCGGAAAAACTAAACGTTAAATAATTTTTAAGCAAAGTTTTATTTCATGATATAATCCACTAACTATTATAATTTTTAAAATTCAAATCATAACCAAATTTTTTAAATAATAACAAAATTTGCAAAAATAATGGAAAAAAGGTGATAACATTAACACTAGTAATTGTTTTTTTGTGTAATTTTCTTATATTTTATGAAGAATTTAAAAATAAAAGCCTTCGTTTTAGAAATCGAAATATGGCGTTAAACAATAGCTTCCAAGAAGCGTTAAACTGTTCAGATGAATCTTTTTCACCAGTGTTAAAAGTTCCAGCTCGCAAAAAATCTGCCCCCGAAAGATCGCTTTTTTTTGTAGACGAAAAGAAGCGGAAAGGTTTTTTAAAAGGAATCGGCGACCTGCTGAAGTACTTGACGTTTTTTATATAAATAATTTATCCTTTTGTTTCACTTTTGTTTCTTATTTTCTTTTTTATTATCTTTGTAACATATTTTTAAGATGGAATAAGAAGATAAAAGATGAAGGCGTTACTGTAAACGACATAAGTAAAATTAAAAACAGTCATTGCAACATTGATTGTGTAAAACCACGCCCTTTAAGTTTGAGTGCTGAATCGATAGCTTCGTCTCCTTACTTAGACTTTAACAACAAAAATATCATGTGTTTACAAGAGGATTTATTTCAAAAAGAATTAGTTAATGCAAAAATACAAGAGAAGAAAAAAATGAAAGCGGAGGGAAGGAACGATCCCCTTCATAATAATAAATCACCCACTTCAAATCTTTATAAATGTTCACATATTGCTTATAAACCAGCAACATTGCCGGATAAAACATCACACGAAACGTGGAGCGTTCATAATGCCGCTACTATGCGTGAAAAAACGAAACAGTTTTACCCAGATGTTCGAAACAGTACAAGAAGTACGCGTGATTTTCATTTACAACGTCAAAGTTCACTACCTCCAAGGAGTAAAAAAGAAGTAAATCCTTTTATTGCTGAACAAAAAAAAGTGGCTCATGTCATTTCCGAACCAATCAAAAGCAGGTTTGCTTTAGAAACAGAAGATATTTTTCATACAAAAAAAAACTCCCCAGTTCAACTTACGTCTATTCATAAACTTGAAGAAATCAAGAAAACACCGAGCTCATATCCTATCAATAGCAAATCATTACCTACACAAAAAACAAATGTTCAACAAATAACAAAGTTAAACCGTGAGAACGTGTCGATAACACATCAGGCGCAGGTTTAATTTTTATATATATTTGCCAAAATATATTTAATCCCCATTAGCACTTCTAAATGAAATAAAAAAACCTAAATATTAAAATTACTCATTTCACTGCAATTTTAACTTAAAAGGTTTTACAAATCTCAAGGATAAAAATTAACATGATCAAATTATTTTATAATTAATTTCGCATATTTTAAACATGTTTGCTAGAAATTAGTGACTATTTATTATAATTCATATTTTAGCATTTTTGCTAATATATCCCATAAGTGTTTACTTTCTGTTGTAAGCATAAATATATCAAAGTTTATTTATTTAGAAGTTTTAAAGATAATTATAATCTAGAATTTTTTTACATTGAAAATGTTGTTAAATAATTTTAGAATGTCATTTTTTTTTAATTGAAAATGTTTTTTTTTTTCTTTTTTTCGCGGCGTCATCAGGAAAATACTTGTAAATTATGGGTATTTTGCGAATACGAAATTTGAATATAGCTTTTTTGCTTCTCTCGCCTGTTTATAAGATATATACTATAAGATAAATATATATATATATATTTTTGTTGTTCATTTAGTTTTTTAGTAGCATCTTGAAAGCTTTTTTATTTACAAACATTCATTTTTGTGTAAATGTCGCTCCATGACCAACTTTTTTAAACGTCTTTATAAATGCTGTGTACATTTTCTCTTCTGAATATAAAACTTTTATAAAATTTGGTATTTTTTATTCAAGTCCATGTATAAAGGAGAGTTGGGTAATGGCAAACGCGGGGTAATTCCGAACATGGTCAAAACGGCATGATAGAAAAAGATTATTGACAATTTTTTTTTTGCCTGCTGAGAGTCCTATACTCAGTCCCAGACCTGCAATAGTGTAGTGCGCTCGTTGTTCCTAATAAATTTATCCTAACTTTTTCTGATACTTTTATATAAATTTTTGCTTTAGAAACCTGTTGTAGCTACTATGGATATAAAACCACTCCTTTTGTTGTTGTTGTTGTTACATAGTACCATAATCAAGGAGTTTTTAATACGTATTATACTTTGGGTATGTCAATACAACCTCAATAGATTAATTGTATTTCATTTGTTTATGTCCGCGGGGAAATAACGAACGATCTTAGTGGGATAGTTTCGAACGTCTCAAGTGTCATTAATAACACACGGACATCAGGCAGCCAGAAATTTAATATTTTTTACTTTTGTCACATTTAATTTTAACAGATAAATTGTTAGATACGTAATTTCATTTAATAGAGTGAAAACCAGGGAATTTTTTTTAAAAAACATTTTTAATTGAATAAAAAAAGAAACGTTCCAGTGTTATTACTAGTTCTTATATATATATATATATATATATATATATATATATATATACAAGAGTTATACAAAAGTGATCGAATATATTTTAAAAAAAATAGTAAAATATATTAAACACAAAACTTTAAATAATAAAAGTTTTTTTTATTTAATTGAATAGATAAGACAGTTATCATTTTGATGTATAATCGTATAAAAAAGTATTTCCATTGGACGCAAATGTTTCCTATTGTTATCTATAACAATTGCTAGCGCACATATCTTGGCTTTTAAAAAATGAGTTAAACGTCCGTCTATTAATACGTCCTTGGTCTGATTGAATCAGCTAAATATTACCACAGAATTACATAGCTTTGTGTTCGTAATTCTCTGGGTATACCTGAACGATTTGACAAAAAACGTTCCAATTCAATTAATAATTGCAAAAATATTGCTTATCAAATACAGTTTTATAGAGTGCGATTTTTCATTTGAAAATACAGCAATATTGCTATTGATAACAATAACTGTGACAAATGCTAATGCAGAAATATTTTTCCGGAAATTAAAGTTAATCAAATCATGTTAGAGAAATAGCATTTCTCAAGAACGTCTTAGCCATTGTTCAATTTTGGCAATAGAGAACAAAAAAGCACACGTATTAGATATAACTATAATTAGATATAATAATTTTGGAATTTTTGAATAAGAAGGCAAATAGAATTCACATTTAAGGTAGTTGAATAAAATTTAACATAATTCTCAAAATCTATTTTACAAGTTTTGTTTCTTGTTTTATGTAGACTATTAAATAAATATTGGTCTTATTAAATAGAAATTATTAAAAAGAAAACATGTTTTATTTCTAAATAATATAAAATTTAATTTGATTCAAAAGAGCATTCTATAGATTATTTAAAAATCTGCTGTTTTGCAAGAAAAATATGAAATAAAAAAAAAAAAAAGTTGAAAAATAAGTTTAGTGAGAACCAAGGCCATCTCGAGGAGGAGGGGGAGGCATAGGGGGTGTCTAGCCTCCCTACGAATTTTATTAGTCGACAAATCGGATATTGGAGTCGGCCAAATTGAATCTATAGTTAGCAGTTGGCAGATGTCGGCCAACGAGAACCTTCTTTTTATTTTCAGATAAGTTAGTGGCAAAAAATTCTTTTTTGGCTTTAGTCAGCAAAAAACAGACACGTTATCCCCCCCTCCTTTAAAATTTCTTCCGGACGGCCCTGGTAAGAACTTCTTCATTTTAGATATAAAGATTTATTAGGAATGCCAAAACTAAAGCAATCAGTATCAACATATCAAGTATATTGACACAAATTGTTAGGGAATATCCCAATTTTAAGATCAGTGTAAAGTTTTATTTGCCTAATTGTTCAACAAATTTGTTTCAGCAGAACAAATATGATTAAACAATAACAAATCTGTTTCAGCAAATTTTTCACTTCTGCAAACTACAATATTTTAGACCTTTTTGAGGAAAATGTTTATACATTATCGAAAAAATCCATTTCTTGACAAATATCGTTTCAATTGATAATACTGATACTCCTACCAATCCGTCTTGGCTTATGGTTGAGCATAAATAGTTTCAGTTATGAAAACCTTTTTTTCAGTAGAAACAACAGTAAATGAACTTGTTAGTAGCTATTTTGTAAAAAGGCCAAAATCACTTTTGGTATTCAAATCTGTCAAAATTTAGCAGTGTTTACCCAAAATTATGTCTGCACCAATCACCTGATAACATATGAACTTTATAAAACTTCCAAATGTATTTCTAAAGATGTCTGAGAAGAAAAAATGTAAGCATGTTTTTTAAATATTTCCAATCTTAAGGTTGAGACTGCAAACATATGAAGACTCCACGGGAAGAAACGTCAGGGTCACATTTTTTCATTTTGCGATAACTCATTTTTAAACTTTTAAACCTATATAACTTTTTTATTTTTAGGGAAAAGATTAAAATTATTAAGATATATTACAAAAATAACCACTTTTTTATGCAATTAAAGTTGCATTTCTAATTTAAAAATAAAAATTTACATGATAGACTTTCTTTTTTAAGTGAGGTTTTTTGTGGACTCATTTAAAGTTGATCATTTAAAAGATTAGGGGGTTGAACTAAAATTAAAAATACTGTTTAGTGTTGATATTTTCGTGTAGAAAATAATTATAGTTTTCGTTTCATTTTTGTTTTTTTTTCGTGCACAAAAATATCACTTACAGTCAACTCTCAATATCTTTAATACTTGATATCTCAAACTTTTTTGAATCCAGTCGAACCCTTATTTATGGATTATACTCTCGATAACTCGAAAATTTTTTAATCTCAAACTAATTAATCGGTCCCTTAAAGGTTCGAGATATCAAGAGTTGTCTGTAGATATTTTGTATAGAAAATGATTTTAGTATTAGTTCTAGTTCTCGTTTACGAATGACTTGAATTTTTATTATAAATCTTTCATTTAAAAATATCACTGTTGATAAAAAAGTTCAATTTGTTTTTTATTTAAAGGTTAACCTATTAAATACCTATATAACTATACCTATATAGGTGTCACAAAACTGTAAGCAAAAAGTTATTTAATGCAAAGTTTCTTTCCTGATAATAAAGGGGATTTAAAACTTTATAGGTTTTCAAACAACTCAGAATTTATTTGATCTGAATTTTTATTTTTATACCCTGACTAATAGTCAAAAGATATATTCAATACCTTGGGATTATTAATTATATAAATTGTTGTATATTAAGTGCAAAGAAGAAACATATTAAAGATTATAGATTTTTTCAAAAAATACTAAGAAAAAAAAAACTAAAAACAAACTTTAAATCAAAAAAGAAGTCTATTTACTCTTCATTTTCAGAATCAATAATTTCATGAAATGTCTCAATAACCTCCTGATTGTATGGCAAAGAATCGTAAAACTGAGCATTCGATGTAAATCTTTTTAATACTTGTAAATCTCTGTACTTTGCCACAGAGATGCAAAGTTTTGCATTATACAGAATGAGGATCTCACTATTTATAGTGTTCTTCCTATTATTTTTTAAATTAGTTTTCAACAATAATCCATTCCACGAATCACGATGAAACACAATACCACTTGAGTCTACTCTGAAACAAATTTCACGAAGAGGACGTGTTGGAATTGGACATTTATTCTTATAAAATGGTCTCATAAAATCAGTTATACTTTTAACCATACCTTGCGTTAATTCTATAACATGAAACGGAGTGGGGTTTTTATGAGCATTTTTGAATGTTTTAATCCAATCTGATGGGTCACTAGTGGGTGTTTTGCAATTAATTAATCCCATATCTTTATCACATTCCATAAAAGAATGACCACGTTCTGGAAATGTAACTTTAATATAGTCAAACCTTTTGTTTTCATGTACAAGAAAATCCATAAAACGAATTAATGTATAGTTTTTGTTTTGGCCACCACATGAATCACAAAATAGCTCCACAGATCGAATTTCTTTGTCTAAATGTTTTATAAAAAAATCATATAACATCGAAGTTACCTCATCAGGTATGCTGTTTTTTCAGTAACTCAAGCTCATGCAATTGTTGTTCAGGCTTTGTACATTCTGAATTAAAAGATAGTTCAATTTTCATTGCATCAATTTTAATTTAAAACTCATCACATTTTGAACATGTGTCAGTCCTAGGGTACCCAAAAGAAATGTTAAAACTAGTGTTAAATATGTTGCGATAAGATTCATATGACAATTTATCATTTGCATACTTGATTTTAAACAAGTCATACATCTTGGTTATATTTAATTCTTAAGGAAGATATAGTCGCCTAGTTTTTTTTGAGAGTAGTGGGACTCTCTACCTCTGAAAGAAGAAATGTGATCACATATTTTATTTTTTAGTTGAGGAGTAAAATTGTTATACTGATTCTTGTGTTTACCTCTTTTATCATGGGGAGTGACCTATAATGAGAAAAAAAAAATTTTATATATAAAAAAACTTATATATAAGATAACTTCCACTAAAAATAGTCATTTTGTATTCAATGAAAATATATAATTTACCTGTAGTTAAAAGGCTTCTTTTAATGGTCTCCAATCTTCCCTTCTTTATGCCAAAGATTGAAATAAACGCAGAAAAGCAAACATAAACAAACGAACTCGCAAATATCTCGTGATTTGTAATAAAAAGTTTATATGTGTAACTGCTATTATAACCTTTTGAATTAATGTTTCGTGGTCTTCTTCTTGAAACGTTATTTAAAGTTATTAAACTTGCAAAATACGAATCTTGAGCATCCTTGCTGGATAGAGAGTTAAAATATCTTGCTAACACTTTTCTATCTTCTTCTTTGACATTATCAAAACATTTCAGCCTTATACAGTTACATCCAAGCCCTGTTTTATGCGATGATAATCTTCGTTTCTTTATAATTTCACGCAATCTTTCCTTACTTTTTCTTTTCTTGGATTTCTTTAGCATTTCTATTGGTATTTCAAGTCTCGCCATTTTTATTATTTAATTTACATTAACCAAATCACCTGTGATTATTTTGAAAAACAAAGTAATAAAAAAAATAATATTGTTTATAAAGTTAAAAAGTGTAAAATGTCAAAATTTTCAAAATGTGACCCTGCCGTTTCTTCCCGTGGAGTCTTCATATGTGTATATCCTTTGCAATATTTCAAAATTATTTGTATCACCAAATACCAAGTTTAGATTGCAACAATCAGGTCAAAAGTACATAAAATGCTCGTGGGTTTTCAACTAAATAAAATTCTGCTAATCTCTGATAGCTGCTTCTTGTAGCAAATATCAGGCGTGCAGTAAAGAAGTAGCGAATAGTATTTCCAGGGCTGTTCTGAACGGAGGGTGTTCCCCCCCCCCCTCCCAAAAAAAAAACAACAACAACTGTTATATATGCATTTGAGTTAGCACATTTAGCATTTGAGTTGGTAAACTTTTGAAGTATAGTTAGCAAATGTCAAAAATTGAGGACCTTTTTTTTTTTTCTTTTGGTGTCTCTAGTTGGCGAAAAGCACATGCGACCCCCCCCCTCCCATGAGAGATCTCTTCGGGACGGCTCTGAGTATTTCACCTTTTTTCCTCTGTCAATTTCAATTTTAGCATCATATCAACAATAAGTTCGTTTTTCGTTTTTTACAATATAAAAATCATATTTCATTTTTTTCACTTACAGGCTCAAATTTAGATAATAGCTTAATTAAGCTAAAATAATTACTATTTTATCTTTTGAAAAGTATCTATTTAGTAACTCAAAATTCTAAGTTTCTACTTGCAAGTTTCTAGAGTACAATTTCCACTAAACGACGTAGGATCTTTTAAATCTCTGCAATTTACTACCTGCCATTTGTTGGCTGATTCCGTCTATAGTGGTTTTGTCTTTTATCCATTTTTTAAAATTGAGCCATTCAATCATGATTTTTCGGTGGCGTTTTGTTTCGGTGGCAACATTCGAGGTAATGGCGTTGAGAACATTTCGTCGCGTTGGTTTGACAAGGTTCTAACTGAAATTTTTTATGTCAGGAGAATTTAGAAGAAAATCTTTTAACTTTTTCTTAATGTTTTATTAATTTTATATTTTGTTTTTTTTATTTGTTTAAATCTTCTTTTTTTAGATGTATAAAAATGTATCATAATGTATATGTATGTATCAAAATGCATAAATAAACAAAAAATAATCATATAAATACTTTAATTTAGAAATTAAAAAAAAAAGAAAAAAAAGATTTATTTTCGATTGTTGTATTATATAAAAAAATTTATTTAGAACTTTGTCAAACCAACGCGATGATTTGTGGTGTTGGCGTTGTTAACATTCATGGTAATGGCACTGACAACATTCATGGCGATGGCGTTGTTAACATTCATTGTAATGGCGTTGAGAACATTCGTGATCTTTTAATCATTTTTGAAGATGTTTTAAAAAATTAAAGACATCAGAAAGAGTCCAAATAGTTTGCAAGTAAAGCAATTAAAGATTTTATCTCAGAATACACGAGGTAGCTTTTTAATATTATTTCTTCATTCTTTAGTAGCTTTTGATAGTGCTTTTCTGAAAATGACATTTTATTTAGTCTTTTGTTCATTATATACTTTATTTAGGCATCGCACAACGATGGAAATACGAATATTCTCACTAATAAAGAACAATACTTGTATACTCGCACAACACTCGCGCAATTATTCATTTTTAACAATACTCGTTTTTTTATTCTCTTAGACGTCTTTCAGCAAGTAGATTACCTAAATTCGCCTGTTACTATTTATTCTGATTTGCCTTGTTTTTTCTTTAGTGATATTTTTCCAAATTCATTCAAAGTTTCATATTGGCTAGAAATAAATTCATTCATTGTTTGCCACATTGTTTTCTCTACACTGTCTTTGATATTTTCTGTTCTTGTCCCTGTCTCTGCTGGATATTTTTAAACAAAACGTTGTAACACACTCACAGCATGTTTCCACTCTGCTCGATATTATTAAACGGAAAAAAAACACAAGATGTTTCCATATCATTAAAAAAAAATTATCTTTTTTAAGATGTTTTAATTTACTTTAAAAAGAGTACATAATGTTACAAATTTTTTACTATTTTCAAAAATATATTGATGTTATTTTTGGAAGTAATAATTTATGATTAAATTGTTAGATTTTAGAGTAAGTAAAGACTATCTACATTGAAATGTCTCCCTAAAAAATGAAAAGAAAATTAAACTATATGAACATTCTGGAAATAGTGACAACTATTTTTTATTTATAAAATGAGATTTGTTAACAACATTCATAGATTTTCTTGAAACACAAACATGAACTCTCTTTCTTGATTTATTTATTTTTTCAAACACTTCCTATGAATAATATTTTATTATTTTGCTATAATTTTACTAAGATATAAAATAATTTCTACAAACAAATTAGAAAGTCCCTTAATTTTAGTCCCCTAGATTTATAGGGCTTAGCAGGGCCTTCGAGAGCGCCAATGGCGCCCGGGTCAAAAATGGAGAACAGCGCTCCTATTTCAAACCAAAAAATTTAAAGTTTTGTGTACGCAGTCATTATCTATTTCTGATACAGGGTATTTTTCTACGTTACTATTAATTGTCTGGATTGAGAAACAGTTCATTAATCAAATCTGGCACACGAATCAAAATACTAGTTTTAAAATCAATGAATGACAAAATCAACAAAATCTTAGAGAAAAATAAATAAAGCGCATAAAAATGAATTTTTTGAGCTTTTCTGGTTGCTTAAATATCGATGACATTGTCATAGCTCACCTTTTTAGCCTTATCTTTTTTAGCAAAATCTTCAATCAAAATAAAAAAATTAGTAACTTTATCCTGGCCCTTGGTCAAACGGAGAGAGTTTTTAAAATCATCAGTTTACTAAACGATCGTTCACCTTCAGCAACTGACTTCAGCAGAAATTGTATTTAAACTGCGGAGCATGGTGCTAATGTACGGAAAAAGGCGTTCAAGCTTCTTCTCAAAGATTTTATCAAGTAGTTGCAGTGGATTTCTTTGCAACTGTTTTTCGGGCATGGTTAAAACGGCGAACTTTTTTTAATGAGACCCTCTTTATTCATATCTCTCAGATAAAACCGTACAATTTTGCAAGCGTACAAGCGTTTAAAGTTTTAAGCATTTAACCGTACAAGCCGTACATATAAAACCGTACAATTTTGCTTTATTTTAAACGGAAAGATCATCATTACTCAACCAGATGAATAAAAACCATCCATCAACCGAACCATCCGAATTGCTTCAAATTGTGACTCAATCTGCTGGATTAGACTATCTAAACTAACAGTAAAAAGGTTCTTTAGTTCGGCTGTCGTGAAAATGATCTGTGCTTGATGACTCGTCATAAAAACGCTTCAGTTTACGTTTTTTTTTGGTAGCAAGTTTAGTTTCAAAACTTAGCGGTCCAGCTACAGCTACTGTCTCTTAAAGAATTTGCAATCAAAAGCATTTTCCAGCAGCTGTCCAATCAAACATAGCTTGTAATTGAAGGTAACAGTTTCAGATTGTAGAAGACGACTAACGTTGTTAACTGTACTTAGGGTTTTGTACCGAAAAGAAATTTGCAATACAAAATCAAAAGATAACCATTTTTTAAGGCTTTTGCATGGCTAAGCTGCTCGCTGATCAGATTCAGGTTTTCGATGGTGTGTATAATAGCTGTTGACATTTCTCTCAGCCTTTTGACAAGTTGTTTAATCGCATCGGTACGAGAACTTCATTATGTCATAGAAAGTCTATGCAGTAAAACTCCTGTCGCTTTAGTGAGGATCTTTCATCGGGCAGGATTTGCACTAAAAGATAAGCACATAAATTTGACCTTTTTAATTAATAATTTGATCTTAATGGCTAATTTAACTACGTTCAAACCAGCCAAATTTAGACTGTGGGCGCGTCTGGGAACGTACAGAGCTTCTAAATAATTTGGAGTTTTTAAGGCATATTGGATTGATTGTCGTATCTCTGACCGTGGCAGTTTCGAATCTAAACCTAGAATTGTTATCACATCAATGATAAGCTTGGTTATATTGACTCCTTTCTTCATCTCTAAAGTTTCAACACATACGAAGTTTCTCTTTCATAGAGGAGAAAATGAATAACAAAAGTTATTCATTTTCTCCTCTATGAAAGAGAATCTCATCTGCTCAGTGTGAGATGTAAAAAAGGAGTAGCATGTTGAAGTAGATACCATCCTGTATTTTTTTACAGCTACACTTTGGATAACACCACCACATTCTCTGATGAATCTATTTTGAGACGACTGAAAGAAGTAACGTACGCTCATTCTGTAGCCTCCTTGTTGTTAACGTCTTACATCTTCCAAGTGGAATGCAATGATAGGGTTGTAGCAACCAATAAACTCCATACCGATAAAAAAGTTTCCTCTTTTTTTGTGTTGCTTCACCTGAAAAAGAATGTCTGATTTGTTCTAGAACTTTTGATGCAATGTGCTGGATTGATGCAGCTTTACGATGCGGCTTTACTGGATTGATGCAGCTTTTTATTGATGCGGCTTTACTCAATCTATAAATCTCCTCTATTGATCTTTAACTCCTCTGTTTTAACAATAAAGAGACGATTCTCCGCTTTTAAATTTTAAATTTCGTGCCCAGAAGCGAGCAGAGGGAACAGTAGAGAGCCTTGGTGGTCAAAGCCAAAAAAAATCTTTTTACTTTTTAGACAAAGGTTGATGAAACACTTTCAAAAAGAAGGTTCTCTTAATAGAATCACATGGAAAATCTCGTTGCTTTAAGATATGTGAAGGTGGTCCCTTAAAAATAAGGTGGTCCCTTTAAAAAACTACATCTTGATCTTTTTGAATCACAACGGCAAAAAAGGTTCGGTCACAAAATGAGAATCAGTAATAATTATTACCAAGTCAGGTTAAGCACCTCCTAAAAGCACCATAAAGTTCCTCCTTCTAAGTCACTTTAAAATACATTTAGCTCATACATATTATACAAATCGAGTGCAGTAGATGACCAAGAAATAGAATAAGAGATTTTTGGTTCCTCTTGGCCTTCATAGATGGGCTGGGAGTCACGGTAATTATTATAGAGATTCTTAAGGTTAAAAGTTAGTAATAACAGAGAAGTTGTTTTTAATAACTTTTTTCCTTAAAAATAAAAATTTCAACATTTCCATCATCAATTTGAGCAAAAAAATCTTTCCTCACTACGTTTTAAGTAGACATTTTGTCTACTTAAAAGATAACTAGCCGGGTTTTGGTAAAAGCAAGGCGGCTTATTTGCCTAAA